ATGGGGTTGTACTGCTTATGTAAAGCAGTTAGTGGGAGGTAAGTTGGATATGAGATCCATCTTATGTAAATTTGTGGGGTATCCTAGAGAGTCTATTGGATACTATTTCTATGATCCCTCTGAACAAAAGGTGTTTGTTTCGAGGAATGCTGTATTCTTAGAGAAAGATTTTATCTCAAAGAATAGCGGAGTCATAGAACTTAATGAAGAACAACCACAAATTCCACTAAGTACCACGGAAAACATACCAGTAGAGACTGGACCATCTAAAACACAACCTCTTCGGAGATCCGAAAGGGTTTCTAGGGCGCCTGAAAGGCTATACCTATTGTCAAAAGACAATGAAGAGGGATTCCTTTTGGATAATGATCCAATAAGCTATGATGAGGCAATGTTGGACATTGACTCAGATAAATGGCAAGAAGCTATGCAATCCGAAATAGATTCCATGTATTCAAACAAAGTATGGACTTTGGTTGATCCACCACAGGGTATTGTACCCATAGGTTGTAAATGGGTTTACAAGCGAAAACGTGGTGTAGATGGAGAAGTAAATACTTTTAAAGCAAGACTGGTTGCTAAAGGTTATACTCAAAAACAAGGTGTTGATTATGAGGAAACTTTTTCACCAGTAGCAATGCTTAAATCTATTCGGATATTGCTAGCCATAGCTGCGTATTATGACTACGAGATATGGCAAATGGATGTGAAAACTGCTTTTCTTAATGGAAATATTAAGGAAGACATTTATATGAAACAACCGCAAGGTTTCATATCCAATGGGAGTGAACAAATGGTTTGTAAACTTCAAAGGTCTATTTATGGACTTAAACAAGCTTCGAGGAGTTGGAATATTCGGTTTGATGAAACGATCAAAACGTTTGATTTTCATAAGAATCCGGATGAACCATGTGTTTATAAGAAGGTTAGTGGGAGTGCAGTTACATTTGTTGTTCTATATGTTGATGACATCCTACTCATTGGGAATGATGTAGGGATGTTGCAGTCAACTAGGACATGGTTGTCAAAACAGTTTTCCATGAAAGACTTGGGAGAAGCATCCTTTATCCTAGGGATAAAAATCTATAGGGATAGATTTAAACGGATGATCGGACTATCCCAGTCGACGTACATAAATAAGGTGCTACAACGGTTTAGCATGGAAGAATCCAAACGAGGATATATTCCAATGAGTCATGGGATTTCTCTTTCTAAGACGATGTCTCCAAAGACACCTGAAGAAAGAGAACGGATGAGTCATATACCTTATGCATCAGCTATTGGTAGCATTATGTATGCAATGTTATGTACAAGACCTGATGTGGCTCATGCACTTAGTGTAACGAGCAGATATCAGTCTAATCCAGGTGAAGAACACTGGAAAGCCGTTAAGATGATTCTTAAGTACTTACGAAGGACTAAGGATATCTTTATGGTATACGGCAATGGAGAACTGAAACTAGAAGGCTTTACTGATTCTGGTTTTCAGTCCGATAAAGACGACTATAAATCCATGTCTGGATACTTATTTACTCTGAATGGAGCAGCAGTTAGTTGGAAAAGTTCCAAACAAGAAACAATTGCTGACTCTACGACAGAGGCTGAATATATTGCTGCATCTGATGCTGCAAAAGAAGCTGTTTGGATAAGGAACTTTATCCAAGGGTTGGGTGTAGTACCATCCGTTGTTGATCCAATAATGATTTATTGTGATAACAATGGGGCTATTGCGCAAGCAAAGGAGCCAAGATCTCATCAAAAATCCAAACACATTATGAGGCGATACCATTTGATTAGAGAAATCATTGGTAGAGGCGATGTCGTGATGGAGCGAGTCGACTCAGCAGAAAATATAGCAGACCCCTTAACTAAACCCTTATCACAGAAAGTGTTCGAAGGACATCTTGAGAAGATGGGTCTTAGATACATGAGTGATTGGAACTAGGGCAAGTGGGAGATTGTTAGAGTAGGGTACCCGGCGTTCCAATCTAATTGGACGTATTCTACTTGTAAATACAGTCTATTGGAATTATATTATGAATAAGGCATTTCTTTATCTTAAGAGAAAGCATTTATCTTATAATTGCACTTAAGATAAAATCCCTAGATCACTTATGGTTATAAGGTATGGTTGCGCATAGAGATGGTGATCATGGAACATACCTTGAAAGCCGTGATCTTAAATACAGTTCCAAGTCGATGGATGTTTCGAGATGGGATATCGAATAATCCATAAAAGACTTGCACATAGTTTGTATGCTTGTTGGACAAGAATGTTGCATTCCATCAACATTAGCGTAAGACGTAAGTACATTTATGTGGGTGCTTGTTAGAGAACAAGTTCACTGAACATGACCGTATGAAAATTCTTAATGAAGAATTTATTCAGTCGAATAAGAATTTTCATGTTACAATAGTACATGACTAATCCTAAGACTTGAGGCACAATGGTAACTTTGTGCATATTACATTCTACTTTGATTTATCCTTTTGGTAGCTAGCACTATCGTTTAAAGGGATAAGTTGGGTATTATGTTAATATGTATGGAAGTTTGTTAGTGGCCAATAAAGGATTCGACACTTATGAAGATAAGTGAATTTCCTATGTGTTTCATAGTTATTAATCCAAAGTCCTTGGCCAAGGCAGAGATGAATAGTGATTCATAACCGGGTTAATAAACATGAAATAGAATCATAGTTATTAAGTCAATTTGGGTTTCGACAAAATCATACCCAAGACTTAATCGGGAAATTAGATGTCGAAAGGATTTTACATGTATGGAGTTGTAATCGGAATAGGTTTACTCGCTATTCACTTAATACTAGATTCATGCTACTTGCTAGGTGTTACCATGATATGTGGGTTCATAAATTAAAGGGTTAATTCATGAATAAGAGTTAATAAGATTTAACTCAAATTACAAAGTGTTGTAAACCCACTACTAGTATTAAGGTGAACCTAAAAGGTCACACTAATTATGAACAAAGGTAAAGATTGTATTTCTAATGGTTAGAATTAATTGATAAATATCTAATTTGATTAGATATCAATTAAAGGAATATATTAATCAATAAGATTGATTAATTACATTTTGGATATTACTTTAGTAATTAAGGTAATTACTAAATTAATAAAGTTGAATTTTAAAATAGGATTTTAAATTTCAAAAATCCAAAATAATAATAATATGATTATTATAATATTGGGAAAATGATATAATAATAAAGTCTTGAGAAAGATTCTCAAGATTTATTATCCAATTATTATTTATATCTTTAAATATGATTTAAGGATTAAAATAATAAATATGATTATAATAAAATGGTTGTTGATGGTTGTTTGAACTACTTAACATATCTTATTATTTTCAAAGTCAAAAGTTAGTAAATACTATTTAAATAAAATTTGATTTTATTTAATATTACTAAATGTTGATTATTTTATGCTAAAATGTTTAGTATAAATATATGCAAAATGGTTTTGCATTTAAGTGAAGTTTTTGATCCTAAATTTCTAAGTGTTAGAAAGAGAAGAAAGTGTTCTTCATAAAACTTCAAGAAAGAGTTCTTAAAATTCCCAAATAAAATTCATAAATATTCCTATACAAGAAAACCGAGTCTTTTCTACTAGCGAAGGAAAGTCGTCGGAACCGGGCTTCATAGGGTGGATACGTTTAGAGGGAAGACACTTGGATTCCTCTAGCGAGTAACCTCAAGTCGTTGAAGTTACAACCGGGAATCGATTCCCTCATCCATCATCAATAGTGAAGGAGTTCAAGAAATTCGGTAAATATTTTTACTAGTATTTACTTTATAGTAACAAATCAAAATTTGTATATGATGCATGTTTTAAAGATGATGATCAGTTAATTCGCAATTAGTATGTACGGGTGTTGTATTTATACGATAAATACTTACTTTAAAAATTTTAAATTCCGCTGCGTACAGCTCGTACTGTACTATCGAACCCAACATCCTCGGCCCGAGTTATACCCTCGGTGAAATTTGTGGCCTCGGCTTTGGCGATCCGGGCCATATCCACGACCACGGCCACGCCCTGAGGTATATCCACACACATGATTTTGGCTGTTTTTATTTTCAGTTCCCTGTCTAGATATTACAGTATTTATTTCAGGGACCGCAGTAGATCCCGTAGGTCTAGATTCATGGTTTTTCATCAACAGCTCATTATTTTGTTCAGCTAACAACAAGCAAGAAATTAATTCAGAATATTTCACAAAGCCTTTTGCTCTGTATTGTTGCTGCAAAAGTACATTTGAAGCGTGGAATGTGGATAACGTTTTTTCTAGCATATCGTAATCAGTTATGTTTTCCCCGCATAATTTCAATACCGAGCAAATGCGGAACATTGCTGAATTGTACTCGTTTACAGTTTTGAAATCTTGGAAGCGTAAATGCATCCAATCATAACGGGCCCGGGGGAGAATCACCGTCTTCTGGTGATCATACCTTTCTTTCAAGGCTTTCCAGAGATTTGCAGGATCTTTCACAGTTAAATATTCATTTTTCAATGCCTCATTCAAATGATGTCTCAGAAATATTATTGCTTTAGCTTTATCTTGTATTGATGAATTATTTGGGGAGATTATTGTTTCTCCCAATCCCCTTGCAACCAAATGAATTTCGGCATCCAATGTCCATGAAATATAATTTTTTTCAGATATATCAAGAGCTTCAAATTCGAGTTTGACCAGATTTGTCATGATAACTTTCTGACCAGGTAGAGCGCTCGTGCTGATAACGTGTTATAAAACTAGAGAGAATTGAGACTATAGAGAATAGAGAAACTGTATTCATTTCGGTGTATTTTTCATTATAACTGAAGTCCCTATTTATAGGAAAACTTCTGATGGTACAATCGTAATAATACAATTACATCAGAGACAAAATAGTCATTCACATACATTAAAAATATTTGCACGCGGTGTGCGCACCTTTACAACACTAATTGGTATAAATCCATCCTTTTGGTAATAGAAGGCGGAGTCTTCTCGGTGTGCGCACCTTTACAACACTAATTGGTATAAATCCATCCTTTTGGTAATAGAAGGCGGAGTCTTCTCGCTGCAACTCTCCAATTCCCAATTCATAGATTTCGATACATACGCACCGCACGTCGGAAAACAATCGGAGAAATGGAGGGTTTCGATCATTCATCTCTGGCTCGAGGCCGCTTGGCGGTGCTCGCAGCTCATCTCTCCGCGTCGTCGCTTGATCAGCCTGGCGGTGTCCATACAGGATTTTTGCAATCTTCGAGTTGCTCCGCCGCCGTGGACCCGCCGCCAAATTTGAAAGGAACGCTGATGTTAGCTGATGAGCGAACTGGGAAGAAGTATCGGGTTCAGGTCTCTGAGGAAGGCACTATAAAAGCCACCGACTTGAAGAAGGTTCGTTAGAATGGGAAGACAACAATTTTTGTTATTTTGCAGTCTTATAGTTATTTTAATTTTATGGAAAAACAGATTTATGCTTTCTTTAGCCTGTGTCCAGTTTTACTCACTAGTAAATTTGTTTATTTTGGTGAATCATCAAAGATGAAATGCACTTTTTAAAGGGCTTTTCATCTGCGGTATCTGTACATTTTCATTCGAAATATATATTTGACTGAAAGGAGTGTTGCAGATAACAACTGGAAAGAATGACAAGGGGCTCAAGCTTTATGATCCAGGATACCTTAACACTGCTCCAGTGCGATCTTCAATTTGCTATATCGATGGTGATGAAGGGATTCTCAGATATAGGGGTTATCCGATCGAGGAGCTAGCTGATGGCAGCTCTTTCTTGGAAGTAGCTTATCTGTTGAGTGAGTGTTTTCCACAGATTTCTAATGTGTTTACATTAATTCATTTCAAGGAAAAGTTTCCCTGTGAACTTTCACGGAGATCAGACTGCCTACTTAATAGTATTGACGCCTTCGAAAAATTCTTCCATAGATCTAATATGTGTTTGATTAACATTATACTGCCTGAATGATGTTAGATATCTTTAGGTAGCATCATTTGTTCACTTGCTTCTCTTGAATAAAAAGGGTCCACACTAATGCACTGAGATATGTGATGTTTTCTAGGTGAACCTACCTTTAGTTTAATATTGGAATGGCTACATGTATAGCCTTACTTGTTCAATGCATTGGCAGAGATACCGGTTGAGATATTTGCCAAATTATTGAATTCACTGCTTTCTTAGAGTTCTGTCATCAAATTTTGATTCATTATCTTTATCTCTATGAAGTGTATGGGAATTTACCATCTGAAGCTCAATTGGCGGATTGGGAGTTTGCAGTTTCACAGCATTCAGCTGTTCCACAAGGAATATTGGTAATGCTTATCATACTGCACTGGTGTTTGCCTAGATTTGTTAGTTGACATACATTATTCATTCTTGATTACGGTGCTTCGTTGTGACTGAGAATCACTTGTTTGGTGCCCAACCCTTAGTATTTTCTATTTTCCTTCATTTTGATGGTAGCCATGCTATTGGGTTGCAGTCTACTGTGATAGTGTTTTTGCATGAAGCTGTATGATATGGAATCATTTGATTTCTTTTGCAGGATATCATACAGGCAATGCCCCATGATGCCCATCCAATGGGTGTTCTTGTTAGTGCTATGAGTGCTTTGTCGGTCTTTCATCCTGATGCAAATCCAGCTTTAAGAGTAAGCTTATGTTTAAATTTCCGAGTTCTTATATATCTTCTTTTTTGTGTTATGTCCAAATGATGCTGGTATGAAGTTGAGCGTGGAGATCACTGCCACTTCCTGTGTATAGACCCTGCTGTTGCATCTGGATTATTTGTTGCAAATCTGTATCCTGCTGTAATAAATCCCATTGTTTTCCTTATATATTCTTTTTGGAAGACAAAGTAGCATTTAACTGATTACTTGATAAATCTGGTTGAAACTTTAGATTTTAAATTCCTTCAAAATTCTCATGCTTAGTACTTTTAGTGGTTCTAGGACTCTGAAAGATGATTTTCTTGTTGCTTGAGTTCTTTGTTGTTGCATCTTGAATTGAGGTGACTCTTTGATAGAATGATTGTTTTATTCACTTTTCATGTAGGGGCAAGACATATACAAGTCTAAACAAGTGAGAGACAAGCAAATTGTTCGCATACTTGGGAAGGTGATGTCATTTTTGTGCTTTTAACTTATTATGGCCAATGTCATGCTGGGTGTCCATAGTGTGCCTGCTTACTTGTTTCTGAATCTTTCATTATATGAACAGATGATATTGAGTATTAGTGGCAGCAGTATTAAGAGCCTACTAAACATATTTGCAGGTACCAACTATAGCTGCAGCTGCTTATTTGAGAATGGCAGGGAGGCCACCTGTTCTTCCATCAAACACTCTGTCATACTCGGAGAACTTTTTGTATATGCTTGATTCCTTGTATGTTCTGACCTTTTTTTGTTCCAAATGTTTATGTTCTATAAGATAAGATTTCAGTGTTTTCTGTAGCTTAAATGGATATCGGTGTCAATTTCAATTTGAAGTGGAGTCCGGTCACTGCAGTGTAAATTGCATTTTTAAGTGTTATTACCTTTGAAACTTGTGCTGCTGTTCTGACTAAAGGTTTTGGCCATGGAACAGAGGTAACAGGTCTTATAAACCAAATCCACGGCTTGCTCGTGCACTAGATATTCTTTTCGTGTTACATGCAGAACATGAAATGAACTGTTCCACTGCAGCTGCAAGACACCTTGCCTCAAGGTTGTAAATTATTGTCATTTTGAACATGGAGAAATTATTTAATTGATATGTAACTTATACAACTGCATTTGCAGTGGTGTTGATGTATATACAGCCCTTGCTGGTGCGGTTGGAGCCTTGTATGGCCCACTTCATGGTGGAGCTAATGAGGTACTCTGTGTTCTAGTGTTTATGAATTTGCTGAGGAAGTTTTCGTCTTCCAATGGATAGTAATGACATACTATATTAGCATCCTTATGCATTGTTACAAGAAACATAATTGTAGCAAATGATCTATTAAAATCTATTCTGTAGGCAGTGCTTAAGATGTTGAGTGAAATTGGAAGCATTGACAATATACCAGATTTCATTGAAGGTGTAAAAAACAGGTTAGAATCTTTTTGATGTGGTCATCTAGAATCTTTTTGATGTGGTCATCCTTTGATCAATTATAAGAAAACTCATTTTTATGGTCTTACTCTGTATTTATTCTTGTACGACTTGTTAGAAAGCGAAAGATGTCTGGTTTCGGCCACCGTGTTTACAAGAACTATGATCCGCGAGCAAAGGTCATCAAAAAACTTGCAGAGGAAGTATTTTCAATTGTTGGTAGGGATCCTCTAATCGAGGTGGGTTTTAGTACTTTCAAGTCAATTTAGATGCATTTTTATTAGAAACTAGATATGACAATGTAGTTGATCCTTGAAACTAATTGCAGTTGGTAATTGGAAAATTTTCTATTTAACAATTAAACGTGAGGAAATTGACTATAGCTTTTCCTGTAACAAATACCATTTCTCAGAAAATCATAACATGAAAAATCTGCCCTCGCTATAATAGAAATACTTTACCTCCACTCCTTTGTTTTTTAGATGAAAAAGAGGAATTCGTAATGGACGACGGATTGAGAACTGCTTTCTTGTAGAGCCGTGGTTTAGGACTACATTGTCACATAAATGCATGTGACCTGCGCTCTTGCTATTTTGTTTACTAAACTTAAAAACATGGAATTTTGACTGTATTGCCAGAGCATACAGTTCCACGTATTTTCATGGTACATCAATACTTGGAATGGACAATGCCTGTTATACTTCTACTGGTTCATCTATTGAACTCACTTCTAGAGAAGTAAATTTGACATGCATATGTGGTTCTCATGCACCACTTTTATTTGTTTTCAGGTGGCCTTAGCTTTAGAGAAAGCTGCCTTGTCAGATGATTATTTTGTGAAGAGGAAGTTGTATCCTAATGTCGATTTCTATTCTGGTTTAATTTATAGGTACAACTTTGGACGGAAAAAGACCTTGCATTGTTTTAAATCATTCTTTCTTACTAATTTAAACCGATACAATTATATTCTTCATTATATTTGGTTAGGGCAATGGGATTTCCAACAGAGTTCTTTCCTGTTCTGTTTGCAATTCCCCGGATGGCTGGCTATTTATCTCACTGGCGCGAGTCTTTGGATGATCCAGATACCAAGATAATGAGACCAGCACAGGTGATGTTTTTTTTATTTTTTTTATTTTTTATTTTTTTGTAAAAAAAAGTGAGGCCACATTCAGAGATTAATGGGGGGTTTATGGCTGGTCCTTGATTATCAAAACTGTTTATACATTTTCATTTTCAACTTAGAGAAGAGAAGCGCAATGTGGTGCATATAATTATTATTGACTGTATTTTCAGGTGTACACGGGTGTGTGGCTACGTCCCTACATGCCACTGAGAGAGCGAATAATAACACAAGAAAAGGATAAATTGGGCCAAGTTGCCGTCTCGAATGCAACAAAGAGGCGTTTAGCTGGATCTGGGGCCTAGACTTTGTCTCGTGCAACCGCTTGCATCAGATTCTTCTCGTTTATGAAGAAATAATAATCGATTTTATCGATGTGGTGCATTTTGCATAAATCTTCGGGATTGTTGTTCACGTCCGATATTTATAAACATTTGCAGACAACAATAAAATGTAAGTTGTATTGATGCTAATAATAATGGTCACCATTACAGCCCCTCATTCCATTATCATTCTATTGTCGAGCAGTTTATACATCTGATCATGATGGTGCATGCAACTTTATCATCTCACTGCAATTCTTGATCATGATAGTACACACACAAAATAGAGGAATTTGTACTGCATCTAAGCCCAAATTTGTTGGTTTTGGGAGAGTTGATTGGTATTGCTCCAAATTTTTGTTACTAAGAAAGCGAACACGGAGGCTGAAATTTAAACAAGGCTTGTCTTTGTTTGTTTGCTTGCTTATCTTGCCCAATTTATTCATTAATGGACCATGGAAATGACAAAGGAGTGTGTTCTGATTTTTCTCCAACATAATAATCAATCATTTATGAACAAGTATAATTGAAAAAAGTAGATTATGCTTGCTTCTATCAAATTGAACTCATGAAAAGAATTGGAACAAAATTTATAATCTTGAAGAACTCTATTTGAGCTAGAAAAATGGCTAAGAAAGTCTCGTATTCAAGCAACCATTGTGCAAATGTCAACAAACTTTGTTCACATTGAAAAGTAAACAAAAACAACAGAAAAGAAAACTCAGGTCGACGTCTAGACTTCACATAAATTTACCAAATTCATTTCTCTATTTACCGTTACAGAGTTCATTGAAGTTGTGCCCAACCATCTCAGCCTCACGGCAGATTTCCTTGCACTTTGCCAACCTCCCAGAAGCCATATAAATTCCGATCATGCACCTGTAAATGTCGTACGTCGGCGCAAAACCCGATTCCTTAAGCTTCGAAAAATATCTCGCGCTTCTCGAGAGATCACCCAAAGCAACAAAAAGCTTTATGAGCACCCGATAAGCCGGGAGATCGAGCAAACAATCCGAACCCTCCATTTCCCACACGACAGCCATAGCCTCCTTATATTTATTATCCAAATACCGGCAGTTCACAATAGTGGTGTACATCACAACACTCGGAACATTGCCCGATTTTTTAAACCAACCATACAATTCCTCCACAACATCAAACTTCCCAAAACTGGCACACACTTTCATAATGCCCGTGCAGTCCTGCTGAGTCAGCTCAAACTCATCTCTTCTCCCGAGCTCTTCCAGCAGAGGCAAAACGAGCATTCTCTTATCCGGGTTTTTCCCAATCTCCATAATCAATTTGGCATACAAGCTAGGGTCCAAAATCCTTTTCCCTTTTGCAGCGGCTAAGAGCAGACTCAATGCATTTTTCCACTTCCCTCCCTCCACGAAACCCTTCACCATTGCTTCATAAACGCTCTTGCTCGCCAGGCCCACGAAATTTTCGTCCAAGTTGATGGGCATTTTCAGTTCGTGGGCCCGGGCCAAGACCCGGACAGTTGAAGCCAAGGCCCGATCATCTGGGAACAAATGCGGCTGCCTCTGGACCCAGGTGAAGACTTGGAGGGCCCGTTTGGGAAGGCCCATGTGGCCCAGCTCACGTATAGTGAGTGAAAGTGACCCTTTTCTTAGAAATCGGGCCCATTGGTTAAGAACCTTGGACACGTCATCATCGGGAGGTAGGCTTCTAATGTCCCTGGCTAAGCCAATCAAGAAATTCGGCTTCTTGTAGACTTGGTTGGACACGAGCTGCCTGTTAGGACGAGAAAGTCGAGTAGTGAGTATTCGTTTAGATGTGGGGAATCCCAAAGGCCGAGTCTTGTGAGGGAGGGAGAGCGGGAGAGGCCTTTCCCTATTTGGCTTCTGAGGGACCCGACCTTGGAAAATGGAGGAAATGGCTTCAATTTCATCTGGGTCCCACTCAGAATCATCAGAATTGGCAAGAAAAGAATCGTTGTTTTCATCGTACTCGCGTTCTGTGGAAGGTTTTCGGAGACTGGGACGGAAGTCGGGAGGAGATTCTGTTCGTCTACGGTTCTTGGGGAGCTGTAGCCTTTTATGGTTGCGGCTTTTGCTGCTGTTAGGGCGTGATGCGGATACTATTGAATGGGACAGTCTAGAGAGAGTATGGGAATTAGAAACTGGGCATGAAAAGAGAGGAAAAGTTAAAGTGGCCATTAATTAGAAAAACCGAGTGAAATCAATCTCGCATATTGTAACAGGCATTTCATCGAACAGTTGGTGGGTGGTTCGGAGTCACGGTCGCAGAACTTTATATGGAACCATAGAATCAGAAGATTGCTCTCACTGGGAACTACAGTACATAAGAGACGTACTAAACGGTGCAGAACTTTTGCTGGAAGAATTCGCGCTTGGCCGAGCTCACAGGATAATACTCTTTGACCAGCTGGAAAATAAAAACAGATATTTTTACAAGGACACGGAAAAAGACATGCTCGAGCGCAAGGTGTTATTCGACTATGTCTGTGAATGCTTTCAGGCCAGTTACGGTGGACTTCTTGCTGGAAGCCATAAGTTATGGGTTAAGCAGACGACACTCGTGCAAAAACGATAGTTTTTGGCCGATGGTTTGTATAGAGAAATATCGAGTCTGGCGAATGATGAGGAGATGATGGTGGACGAGCTTGTGAACAGAGATATGAGCTCTAAAGAAGGGAAAGGGGTTGATTTTGAATCTGAGGGTTTTGAGGAAAGCATCGAGATATGAGCTCTAAAGATGACAGCTATACTGTTGACATTACATATTTGGTTTATTGCACCAAATCCCCCTGTATTATATATGAAATCTGCGCGTTTTCTCCTGTTATTTCAAAAATTGCATCAGACCCCTTCGTATTAACTAACTTTTGCACGAATCTCCCCTCTCCGTACAACTTCACAACGCGTGCAGCACACATTCATGTAATGCGGCAATTATTCAATTTTTTCATATATTTTTTATTTTAAAATTAAAATTTACTATTTTGCCCCTTACATAATGTGGCAATTATTCAATTTTTCATATATTTTTTATTTTAAAATTAAAATTTACTATTTTGCCCCTTACATAATGTGGCAATTATTCAATTTTTTCATATATTTTTTATTTTAAAATTAAAATTTACTATTTTGCCCCTTACTTGTTGGGCAAAAATTGATGCTTGGCTGCTCCTCATAGGATTCGAACTTGGGTCAAAACATCACTAGCCAAGACTTTAAACCACTGTGCCACTATCATTATATTATTGTACAAAATTAACACACATTTATTTAAAGCAACAGGAACAAGAGGAAAACTTAATCAAACAAAAATAAAATTAATATAATCACAAACTAAATCATTATAATAAAATTTAATTGAAATAAAATAATAAAAAATTATATTAAATGTGAAGTTTGAAAATAATAAATGAATATATTACTATTTAATATAAAAATTAATGATA